TACAACTGCGTGAAACACACAGGCGTATCAAAATGCAACTGCGTGAAACACACATGTGTATAAAAATACAACTGCGTGAAACACGCAGTAGTATGAAACTTCAACTGCGTGGAACACACATGTGTATAAAAATACAACTGCGTGAAACACGCAGTAGTATGAAACTTCAACTGCGTGAAACACAGTAGTATGAAACTTCAGCTGCGTGAAATACACAGCAGTATGAAAATTCGGCTGCGTGAAACACACAAACTTCACGCATGCGTGGAGTGTATGGAGTGTACGGGAGTGATTCACGCAATAGTGCGAATAGTCACGGCCTTAAATTAATTCAATAGACGATTGGTTTTCATAAGGATATATTCCATGACTCAATGTTATCATTTTGGCTGTTGGCTTTGAAGCTCAATTTATCATGACTCCAATGTGCCGCAATACATACAAACATCCCTCTTTTATTCTGAAATCGTCTACACGATGCATGCAAACAGAATTCCCGGGCGTCGATATCGCCATTTGGCAATTCAACTCTCCCTCTTCCCTCATATTTTTTTTCCTCCACTCGAATCGCATATATGACACTGGATAGCATTGTAGGATCGTCATATAATGTTGAATGGGAAGTAAAAAAATTCTGCCAAAGGGGCTTTGATCAAAATTTTAGGCTCGCTACAATTTCATGAATTTTTCCCCGCGTTTTTTTCTCGGTTGAAATGCGGAGGATTATTTGAAGTGAATGGAATGTATATTTCAACCGCTGTAATGTCTTTATTAATTCCTGTTGGGTAAATATTTGAAGTTGTGTGCAATCGAAAATAATATCACGCTCGAAATGGGGAATATTTTTCTGCCTTTAATCTTCGGATTCTCCAATCAACTATATTTTTTCACATAATTTCACGGGAAATTCTGTCAATTTATTTCACATTCGTTTCATCTTCGTTTGTATGATTTTTTTTTCATACACTAAACAGAAGAGTATTTTTTTTTCAATAAATTGCGATATTTTGAATAGATAGGGAAACAGGACTCGTGTCCGTGGAATAAAAAGGGCTCTGAAACAACGCTCACACATACCACCTACACCCCTCTGTCTCTAAAAATGTAAACCATCGACATACGAATAAAAACGTTCAAATAGAATAACGCAAATAATCCGTGTAAATATGGAACGAGCATTGAGCTTGAAACATTACACCGAATATATGTAGAGTAGTTGTACGTACACGTATTGAAATATATTTATATACATGTTTATCTATACACATAGGTATATACGTGACGCGTTCATGCCTTCCAGTTTCATGCGGATGAAATAATAAAAGTAAAAAAAAAATAATAAAAATTGTGCACAAGGGAAAAAAGAATTGAAACGAAATAAAAGGGAGGAAAAAAATCCGGGGTTATCGCACGAGCGCTTACTAAATTCAATTTTTTTTCCTCTCCCTGTCTCTTTCTCTCTTTCCCTCATCCTACTGTTCCCACCTGTATGAAGTGTGGTTAAATGACCGATAAAACGAATAATTTTCTTCGCTTGTTGTTTCAACCTTCGTAATCCAAAATAGAGAAAAACGACAGAACCATTTTTTTTTTCATAATTGTCTTATATTTTTATCGCTACGCTCGTCAGGCGCAATATCTGCTTGAGATTTTTATTCGTGTGGTGTAGAGTCGAAAAGAAAATTATCAGTAATTAGACTTACCGACACCGGGATATGCCGGAATTCCAGCACTGTAGGCGTGCTGGAGGGTGGCCTCCCCGTTGGGCAGACCTTGAGCTGGAATGGACAGATGGAGGGCATCTACACTTCAGTAAGTTCAGCTCTTATCGGGTGGGGGGTAGGTTAGAGTGCCCCATTGCGCAAAACTTTGCCAATCCAGAAGACATTTTTTTATAGGAGATTATTACCTTCTTCGAGTTTGAAGTTATTGAGGGAAAAATAATATTTTTTGATGAAGGACATTCTATTTGATCGAATGAATTTTTGAAGATTGAATCGAGGGTTTTGGAAATTTCAAATATAGCAGAATTCAATGTTTGAATTTTTTGTTTGGAATGTTTAGAATTCAATTTCATATGAATTGAAAATTTTTTAATATTGCATTATTCTTGAAATATTCCAATAATTCTTGATTATTCTTCAATTACAAATTATTAATTGCAATTCAGGCCGTCGCGAAAAAAGCTTAATTTAAAGAGGTAGAAATTATGATTCTAAAGCCAAAAAATAAACTTTTTGCAAAAAGATGAAATGTTTAAATTGAGGATATTTTTCTCAAATCTGAAATACTATATTTTATGAATTATTAAATAGCGAAATCCTGGATCCAAGAAACCGCAAAATTTTATTGTTGCCTTATTTTTGACATATTTTAATCATTCTTGACCATTCTTCAGTTCCAAATAATTAATTATGAATTCAGACAAATGGAAAAAATATTCTCAATTCAAAGAAAATTAAATTTCTCAGAAAATTAAATTTCTGGAAAACTAAAATTTTTGAATTGACAACAATACTTCGTTCAAACCTGAAAAAAAAATTTGATCCAAAAACCCCAACATCTCGTGTGGAGAAAAAATTTTCACTCCCATCACTCCATTTCCAGAATCAAAAAAACACAGGTGAAATTAAATGCAAGTGCACAGGCGCGAGCGGGCGTGACCTCGTAACTTTTCTCCGTCAGTTGCATATAAACCTATATATATTTCGCAATAATAAAGTCATCTGGATTGGCCCAGTGGCGCGCAGGGGCGGCGCTATGCGCCCGCGTTGATACTCACGTCCCGGATAGGTCTGCGGTATTCCGTTCGTATAAACACCAGGATCTGAGCCGGCCGGCTGTCCATTTGGTGTTTGTGCCGCCATATTGAAGTTTGGCATTGTCGGCGATGGTAACGATGGTATTGTACCGTTGACTGGTTGTCCTGTACCAGTACCTACCACCAAAACTGATCAGTTATGTTATTTTATCAATAAACCCTAGGCTATGTTAGAATTTTTTTCACTTGAAATCAACTTTCTACACAGCATTTTCTCTTATATTTATTCTAAATGCATTGAGTGAAGATATTGCGCAATTAAGGTATATCCCTGGAAGACAGGTTTTTCTACGATTGTCCCCACGTTTTTCATAGATAATGTTTATGATATTCCCCAGCTATAGAAAAAAATTCTAACCGGTTGTACAACACAGCTTAGGAGATACTAAATAATTAAATGCGGGCTTCTAACACGTGAGGCATAGACCAAAGGGAGATTATGCCTCGGAAAACGGTTCTTACGATGTTCTTAAAAAACGAATCCCTTGTAGATTGATAAATCTCGAATACTCTGAATTAATTATAAAATTTTATAGTACGTGGTTTCTGCAATACTCAATTCTACAAAATAAAAATTTCGTGAAATCATTAGCAAATAATTTCGTATTTGATTCAAACAGTTATTGTTGCCTTCATCGACAACACATGAGAATAGAAAATCTCAATAATTTGTCAGAAAGCAATAAATTGACTCATTTAGAATTTTTTCCGGAAAAAATACCTCAAATAATTCTCTTTTTCCTGCCGGGGATTCAAACCCAGAAACTTTCGCTTTTGCAGCGAATGCTATTTCGAATCACGCCACCAAGACACGAAATTTGAAAAAAATCTCAAAATGTAATGAAAATTCTTTTCATGATCCCAAGGGAATTCAGTATTTCCTCCATCGTATTCACTTCAAAGTATATAAACGTGTATATAAAAATGTATTCGTTCAAAGTACATAAACATTTTCTTCCAACCTGAGCTACCAGAAACCTCAAAGACTCACGAACGCACTATAAAATAAAACCACAACCTCCGCATATCCCTCTCCGAATACGTAAGAAAGCCGTAACGATCGCAACTGCAATATTCGATTCGTATTTAGTATGAACAATAATGACGGATCGTAAAAAAAAACTTTAAGAACCCAGGGAAAAGCAAAACCACGGAACCATATACGTGCGTATCCGTATACAGTATCTCCAAATGTTATACTATCCCCAGTACAGCAGAAAAAAGAGAAGAAAAAACGGCAGCGTTGAGCGGAAAAAGGTCGTTTCGCGGTAGGATAAAACCCCTCGGCAGTAATCTCAAAGGGAAATAAAATATTATTTCCCTATCAAACCGTATTACATTCCGCTCGGGGTATTCCTAACGTTGTGGCCGCAAGGAGTGAGAGCACCTTCGTATACCTATTCTCCCACCACCAACCCCCCTCCCCCCGCCCTCTCAGCCTTTCGCAACCTCACGCGGATAAACGTTCTATAAACTTTTGTGGGGGGCCTTCAACAATGCATTCTATTTTTTTTCCCTCAACTTAGAATTTTCATTGGGCGTTTTTCCCGCCCGTTTACGGCATCTGAATCCCACGACTTCTCCG